CCTGTCACTTGGACCATGCATACCACAAACCAAGCAGATGGCGCACGTTTCAAGACTGTGTTCTTCGGTATATGCGCTTCATTAAAACGAGTGCCCCGTTATCCTATCCATTCCCTAGGAGTTTCCGTGCCAAAAGCATATGTTCAGTATTGGTTTGAACTTTCAGTGCCTTATTCCCCAATTTGCATGCTCTACTCAGCATTCGTTTTGATATCATATTCCAGCCCTTGCATAGGCTTCCCGTTGCAACCTTAGCACGCCTAACCTGGTGGTTCGCCACTTCAAGTCCCGGGGCTTAGGTTGTCGGTTACCACCACTGAACAGCAGGTCTTCGTGACTACGAGGTTCCGCCCCGTCTGCCTTCGATCCCAGCGCTGCTCGCCCACTTGCTTCGTGTGACCCCAAAGAAACTATCTAAACACCGACGAAGTTCAAACTTTTATTATGGAAATAACTTACAAGCTCATGCTTTTCTCGCCCCAGAGTTTCGTGTTGTGGTTGAAAGACTGATGCATACAATTTCACGTGTAAAAATGTCACATGATATGGGTTTCCTTCGTTGCTACACACAGCTTCATTTATGTTAGAATGTATGGTGTGCTAATGCTTCATCAATTCTCACTTCGAACGATTCAATGCTTGGCGCACAGACGATGTGGAGTGTGAGACAGTTCCAGATCGAACACACTCTGACTGCGAATGACTGACGCCGGCATTTTGAGACCACTAGTTTAAATGGATGTCTTCTAAGATGAACGTTGGGCGATAATTTCAGAAGCGGGCGACACGGATGGCTTGGGTTTTGCATTATTTGGTATATCATAATCATATCTCCTCTGATGCACCGGTGGTGATTGGAATATAACCCCAGTGACTGCAATCTCTCTGCGTATGATTAGCAATTCAACCCCTTAACCATTTTGGTGGCCATCCGTTGTGGACGCTCCAGCATTTTGCAATCACGTAGTAGCCATGGATTCCATGCCTGGTTAGCGTACTCTGAGTGGACGAATATACGCTGATAGCAGACGGGGAAAAGCGCTGACTCAAACCGGCCAAAGACACGCCTAAGCAAACCGACATTCTTTACAGCTGCATTCGACACCCTGGCGCAGTTGAGTAAGCAGCTTAAGTTTTCTGGAATGTTGATGCCCAGGTTCTTCTCACTTGGGACGTGTGGCAGTTGTTCATTTCAGAGGAAATATGAAAATTACCTCTTGTGTTGTAGAGATAGAACCTTACACCTTGGCACATTGAATTCAATGTCGTTCAAAAGCGACCAGAAATGAGTTGCTTTCAGCGTTCTCTGGAGTACCAGCAAACTAGCTGGTTGCATCACTGTATTCCAAATTTTGGCGTTATCTGCGAACAGTAATGATTTTGGCTCCAGAGTCTTCGGTGGGTCGTCTATGAACGTTAGGAAAAGTCGCGGGCCGAGCACAGATCCTTGTGGAACCACGCGGGTAACGTCCGTAGGACTGAAAAACGAACCGATGCGGTCCAATGTCTGGGAAATGCTTCAATCCAATCAAGCATGAGGCCTCGAGTACCGTAATTATAAAGTTTCCGCAGTGGAATCTCGTGGCTCCTCCGATTGAACGTTTTTGAGAAGTCCAGATTACCGTCTACCGCATCACCGTGATCAACTGCTTTACTCCATTCTCGTGCGATCAGCAAGTTGGTAGCGCAGGATCGCTCCTGTCGGAATCTATATTGATTTGGTGACAGAATGTTGTGTTTCTCTGGTTGTTCAACCGGGGAATCTGCTGAGTTGGACTCCATGACTTTGGATACCACTGGAAGGAGGGTTACAGGACGGGATCGCTACGGCAACCGCCTTTGTAAATGGGTGGAATTACTACGTACTTCCACGACGGTAGGATTGCAGTGTGATAGAATATCCTCTGGAATAGGAAGGCTAGTGGCTCGGATATTTGATTTGACTCGCCAAGCAGATAAGGGTTTGGAGTAAATATTGTCTGCACCTGGCAATGAATTCTTCCTTAAAGTCAGTAGCTTTGCTTTAACCTTTGCAGTAGTGCATGACACGGTGGTTAGTAAAGGATGTGGAATATCATGCATTCAGCGAGGGAGGCACAGTCCTTCATTAGTTGACGCAACAAAATTTAAGCATTTCAGCGGCTTCCATTGTATAGGCTGTGGCTCTTCCAGAAGAACTGTATGGTATGTATTTCACACGCATTTGAATTCAGACTGGTACATAGTCTGGATTCAGATACGTGTGAAATACATAATATGCATGGGTCCAAATCGTTCTCGTTTATTGTACTATTTTTCGAAGCTACGATTTCATCAACTTGTTCTTTTCCCAATGTAGACGCTAGCCCCATCAGGTCAGTAATGATCATGCTACACGCAAAACACGATTTAGCTCGTTCTAATTTTTGGTATAACATGACGATAGCTGGGAAAATGTGTGCTAGGCTACTAATGAAGACGATGGAGTTTGAGGTACAAGTCATCATCGTCATCGTCATCATTGTCCGGCGTAATACAGTGAAACGAACTTCACTGATCGCCGCCAAACTCATACTGCATACACGATAAGTGAGAATATGTAAGGAGGACAGAGATTGGGCCTATTTTTAGGGACGGGAAAAGAAAGTGGACCTCTGTGGTCAACACAGATTACACAGCCCAACTGTGCATACATACTAGTTCCAGCATTCTGGTCTGATAATAAGTGACAGCATGATCGCCATTGCTGTCGGCTCGCAACCATGACCTTAAGTGTCTCCAAACATGCGGTTTCGGAGTCTTTTGAACCCCAACCCGGAAGACGAGAGATGCCTACTCTACTTAATCGCTCTGTGCATTTCTTTATGCCTCGTCTCCACGTCTTCTGCTGGCTTCCACGTGGCTTTCCTCAGCCTGTAACAGCCACTGCAAACAAGGCGCGCTGTGGTAGGTGACCGTCGGATATACGCAAAACGTGTCCTAACCAACGGAGCTTACTGAACTGGATTTGATGAGATAGCGAGTTCTTGTTCAGTGCATTCCCAAACACCTGACGACTTACTTGTAAGTTACTAGCCCACTCACTCCATTCAATTGGGCTAGACTACGTAAGCATCGATTGCCGAAAACCACTAAGCGACAGTTGTCTCCTATCCTCAAGTTCAAGGTCTCACGACCGTACAGCAGAGCTGATGGTATAATGGCGCAGTATACTCAACTTTTCAACATCAGTGAAACGAGAAGCAGTCAACTTCAGCTTATTCCTGACCGTGTAGTTTCAGAAGGGAACTCGGTGACACCCAGTCTTGCAACATCACTTTTGCACTTTGAAGGTGGACAGCACATACCGAACGGAGCCACAGAACTTGCTAATCTGTCAAGTGCTCTTTGTGCATTCTCCATACATAAGAACAACAAACCATGTCGTCAGCGTACTCCAAATCGCACAGCATTTCTTCAGCTGCCCATTCAATACCTGCATTTTAGAGACCACTTAATGTTCAGATTTACTTATCAACAATAGCCAGGGCAGGCTGTGCACTTGAATTAACTCTTCAGGTCTCTCTGGGAAATAAGTGTATCTGTTTCCATCTCCGTAAGAAACGTTTGCTTGGAGGTTCTTCGTCATATTTCTGTCTGTTTTCTAATCAGAATGCGCCTAATTTCTTTCGTTTTTCCACTTTTCTTGTCATAGCCACATTATCTTGCTTCTGCATCGATTAGTTCTGACCTCGACTCGTTTTCTTGTATTGCAGGCCACAACAGACACTGCAGTTTCGGTCATTAGTCGGTTAACGAATGCGGAATCTGAGGTAAGCGATGAAGCCGTTAAATGTTGGGGATCGAGCACGTCGGAAACCGCGCACTCTGAACGTATGTTCAAATTAGTTCAACATCGACGTCGATCTGCCATCTCATTGTTGACGCAAGTCAATCAAAAGATTGATACGATGCGTCAGCATGATGAATTTGTGCGCCTTGATCCCACAGTGATGGCCTGCATGTGGACTGCTCTGATTGAACAGGCAATGCATCGCGCTGCACCAGACTCTACCGAGGCAGGACAATCTCGACTCAGTCCGGCAGAGATCCGTTATCGACAAACTGCACAGGATGAAGTGGAACGCCTCGTATTTGATGCATTTCATCGTGCATCGCGATTACCTTTGGGTTTTACCTTGCACTTTCCAATCGAAATGGATCAGCTGATGGTAAATGGCAGCTGGTTGCAACATGTTTATACGCACGCCAATCACGTCCTTGAGGTCTTTCACCCTACAACGCCCTCCCCTATCTGTTCCATTAAACCCGATTCTCCCCTCACCCGTGTCATCGCCCAAAAACGTTTAGTGTACAAAGAGTTTATCACCAATCTGTTCAATCGGTGTCTTTCGACTTATCAGAACCACATGAACAACACCAATGCTCAAAAGAATGTTGCCGGTCAAGCTCTAGTTGCGCGGATTCTCAGTCTA